ATTAGATTATTTTAAAAATCTTTTAAAAAACTTAAAATCTTTATTAATAAAGTTAATAAAATATATATTAAACTATATTTTTTATATAATAATAATATTAATAAAATTAATATTTTTTATTTTATTAAGAAATTAACACTTTTTTTAACTTTGCAGGCAAATTTGCCTGCTCTACAATCTAATGGATAATAAAATTCATTACGATTTATTATTACAAATTTCATAACGAATTATTCAACAAAATTCATTACAATTCATTGTAACAAATTTCATTACTATTCGTTACAATTCATTTAAATGAAATTTGTATAATGAATCATTATGATAAAATTTATTATGATACAATATTACAAATTTTGTAATGAATTGAAGAATTTTATTACAATTTGTTTAAATGAATCATATTATGGATTTGTTAATGAATCGTTAAATAGAATTTGTTTAACGAAATCTGTAATAAATTATATTACAGATTCATTAACAAATTGTTTAAACAGAATTTGTTTAACGAAAATTGTAACAAATTGTTTAAATGAAATTCGTTTAATGTAAACTAAAATAAATCATTTAAACGAATCGTATTACAGATTCATTAATGAATTATTATAATGAATTTTATAGCAAATTGTCATAGTGAACCATTAATGAATTTTATTATGAATTGTTAACAAATCTTATTAACGAGACTTGTTAGCGAATTGTTACCAATCAGTAAATTATAATTGAATAATAATTATCAATTAGGTATTAAACTGATTAATAACTAATTATTAATTGAATACAATTTATTACTATTTAACATATAGTTATAAAATTTTAAAATAAGTATAAAATCGAATTGAAAACTGATTTATATAATTCTATTTAATAATTATGATTATGGTATTAACCGATTCATACTCAATTATAATATCTACTGATTTCTATTTATTGATTGCTGATCAAATCGGAAAGGTATCTGATTTATCAGTGTTCAACCTGTGTTTTTTAAAATAAATGTTCTATAAGAAATTTCTTTTCAAAGAAAAATATTTCAGAAACGTTTTTTCTTGAAGAGAAATGTTTCAAAAACTATTATCTTGAAGAAAAACTTTTTTCAAAGCATATTCAATCTCTTTAAAATATTTTTTTTAGATTTATTATTAATGTGAGTTAAATAAGCCAGCTTGTTTAGCTCGTAAGCTAGCTCAGCTTATCACATTTTTGACTTAAGCTAAGCTGAGTTAAGTTATCATAAATTAGCTCAGCTCAAATCAATTATCAAGTTAACTTAATTTAATTTATACTAGCAGATAAATTATAATTGATTAATTTTTTAATGTAAGTAATTTTAAATTATTATTAAATATAGAGAAAATTTATTAACATATTTTAATTAAAATATATTATTTTTTAGACAATTTTATTTATTAATAGATTTCAGAAATAACAAGTGATATTTTATCAAAAAAATCACTTTTATAATAATTTATGTGAATATATTACAATATGATTTTTAGATAAGATTTCATTTTGATAAAAATTTTAAAAATTATATTAAAATGATATCTCATTATTTAAATAGATAAAAAAAAATGTGAGCATTTGTCATATACTATTTGTAAAACTTTTTGACTTCTAAATATCATTTTTAATATACTTAATTAATTATCAGATCCTATTTGTTCTACAAGTATATTAATAAAACCTTTTTATTATAGTATTTTGTATAATATTTAAATTTTTGATGAAAAAGGTTTTTTAATTATAGTGAATAATAATTATTATGCTAATTTTCAAATAGTATATCAGTCAAAAATAACAAAATAAATTTATTCAATACTTATAATAATAATAAAAATAGTAAATATATATTATCATTCAACTTTACAAATATATAAATTCATGATTTTATTTAATATTTTTAGTATGAAAAATTATGTTGTCTTAACAGTGAACATGTATTATTATTAAAAGATTAAATAGCATACCAAATTGTTATAGATGATTGGGATTTTAGTTGTAGAATACTATTTGTATCAAATGATCATATTTTATATGATTAAAAATGGTTTTCATAATTATTTTTAAAATTTTTAACTAGTTGCAACTATTTATGAATTTTTATATTAAAATAAATTTACAAGGAGTTGCAATCAAGTTACAACTTAAGTTGTAACTTACTGAGTTGCAACTTCTTAATTATTGTGCCATCTTATATTAATAAAATATTGTTATGTGAAAAAATTAATTGTGAAATACCATTGGAATTAACATATTATTTATATTGCAAAAACAATATTAATGATAATAAGTGTTATTAGTATGAGTATCATAATGAGTTGATAGAAACTCCAAAAAGTTTTAAATCAAAGTAAATTCTTATTTTTATACTAAATATTTATCATAATGCAGAAAAGGAATTTTTATATATGATAAAATTAAATTACATATAAAAATTGCAAAAAATGTAAGATTAGTAAATAATAGTCAATATTGTAATTCATTAACTAAAAAGTTTTTTTAACCAAGAAAAAAATTAAAATTAAAATTAATTTTTAATTGTTTAAAAAATTTTTAATAAATTGTCTATAATACGATTGAAAAATAAATTGCAAATTATGTGTTTTTATATGTTTAACTATTATTCATATCCTTTTTCCTTCTGATAATCTCAGTTTAAACAAATATAGGATTGGTATAATCTTAACTGGATTTATAAAAAGATATAATTTAGTTTTATATTGATATATAAAAATATCTCAAAAACTTACTGAACAAACAAAAGAATTATTAGCAAATTTTTATTAATTTGTCATTCATTTTAGGGTAAAGAATTCTATCAAATTATATAAGATTTTTATTAATAAAACTCCTATCTGGTTTGATATGACTGAAATATTATTATTAATTTAAAAGGGAAAAAACAGTTTAAATTCATGGGATAAAAAATAAAAAAACCAGTTTATTGTTGTTTTAATATGTTGTTACAAGTAAAGTTATTAAATGAAGTTTAGGATTTAGTTAGACGTTTAAATGATAAAGGTAAAACTTGGTTAAAATATATTAAAATCTTATTAAAAATCTGCAAAATTCAAAAAAAATAAAACTATATTAAAGCTTAGTAAAAATTTAGTAAAACTAAAGGTTTAGATAGCTAAATCCAAAATGAGTTTAAACAAGCAATTTTAGCTGCAGATAAAAAACTTAATAATTTAAATAATATTAAAAAAAATTTTAAATGTTAAATTTTTTAATTATAGATGATACCAAACTGCTACCAATTGGCATTTTTAAAGGAAAGCAAATACCACATGGAGAAAAAGTACCCTCTATCAGTAATAGCAAATTATAGGATCATTTGACTTGAAATTTATAATTACAATAAGGAAATTTGAGGTCATTTCAAGGTCATTTCAAGGTCTTTTGCCAACCCTGTCCTCTGGTTGATTGTTTAGTTCCAGGAAAATGGCTGGATAAATGTAAACTTAATGAAATGAAATGTCGATTATTTTAATTGTATAAGAATGTTAAATAACCATTCTAAATTTCCATCAATGATAGTTTATGATTCTTTTAGAAGGCATTTGGAGGATTCAATTAAAAAGAAATAAATGTTGATTTGGCTGTAATCCCAAGTGGTTTGACAAGCATTTGTTAACCACTTGATGTTGCAATTAACAAACCTTTTAAGGATCATCTTTGTCAAGAATGGCATCAGTGGATAAGTAATGGTGATGCTGGATTTACTGCTGCAGGAAACCTTCGACGCATTACAATAAGTGATGTGTGCGGGTAGATAAAACGTTCATGTCAAAGGAAATTATAGTCCGTTCTTTTAAAAATTGTGGCATATGCTATTTACGAAGATATTGATGAAATTATTAGGAAAATTCAAGATGAAAATGAAGGATTTGTAATTTTTTTGCCTTATTTGTTTTATTTGTAAAATTATTGATGAAATAGATAGACCATAGGCGGTGATTGATTAATTTTGTATATTCATAATCTCACCTTTTGTATACATTTTTTTTTTATTATTTATATGTGACAACGATCGACTTGTTTCACGTGATATTCACGTCGCGTATGTTTGACAACATCAGTTTGAAAGTCAATTATAGTTTTTATTCTTTACCTTTGTTAAATATTCTGTTAAATATTCGCATATGGGCGAAAAACGTCCGATCTCCAAGGATGCCTTATTTGATATCTTTAAGAATCAAAACGAGGCTGCTTTACGTTCTCCAACTCCCAGTCATTTGTTAAATAGATCTGGGAATTCCGCTTTTAGAACCCCCTCACTTGGGACAACACCAGTAAACTATAATTTGTCTTTACATCAAAGGGCTGAGCAATTATTATTTTTAAACCAACTTAATTTTAATAGCTTTAAACCTAATTCACCTTCTACTACCGGGAATTCACATGAAAAGATGGAAAATCAATTGAAATCACCAATTAGACCATTGCCCGTGCAAGGATTTTCTCTAGAGCTTATCAAATGGCACCTAAAAGTCGTATCTATTAATGATATATTTGTTCCAGAAGTATTTATTTTATTTTAATCCATCCTATATAAAATAATTTCAAAAGATTTAAAAATCTTTATTTCATCAGGTATCAGATAGAATTAATTTATGGGTGGTCTTGTCTGGAATTATAAAAGGAACACGTAATGTAAGAATTAAATCGGTAGAAAGAGTTTAAAGATTTTTTTGATTATAGTTAATCTTGTACATATTTTTTTTTTTTTTTTTTTTAGAAATGGCATAGTGCTGTTGTAATTGCAAGAGAACATAATAAGCTTATACAAACCGCAAAAGGCAAGTCCTATATACTTATTGGGAAGATATTTTCTAAAAAAATGAAGGCAGATGGTAAATATTTAATAAGACTCTTAAAAAATCATTATATTTGCATAATTATAATAACATTATTTTAACTAGGTTTCTCGGAAGGATTGGTTAAATCATTTGAGGATGGCTTTCCGGAGGATTGGCGAGAACTTCTGCTTGCTGAATTAGAACCTTCATATCAGGGTGAAGGAATTGAAATGAATTTTGATTCAAGTGTTAATTCTATAGGAGATGGAGAAAATCAGGGTGAAGGAATTGAAACGAATTTGCATTCAAATGTTAATTTTATAGGAGATGGAGAAAATCAGGGTAAAGGAATTGAAACGAAATTGCATTCAATAGTTAATTCAAATGGAGAAAATCAGAGTGAAGGAATTGAAACGAATTTGCATTCAAGTGTTAATTCTATAGGAGATGGAGAAAATCGGGGTGAAGGAATTGAAACGAATTTTGATTCAAGTGTTAATTCTATAGGAGATGGAGAAAATCAGGGTGAAGTAATTGAAACGAATTTGCATTCATTAGTTAATTCTATAGTAGATGGAGAAATCAAATCATTTTCTGGTCGTCGCATACGAGCCCCCGGTAACTGGTGGGAAATTAACTCTGAAATCAAAGTAAAAGAAGAAAAAATAGAACCTAAAAAACGAAAATTATCTTCTATCGGAAAGCGTACTTCATCGTCATCCATTGAAAAACATACACCATCATCCACGCAACGTAATTCATCACCAAATAGTGGTAAGTGTATATCGTTATTTAATATTATATTTAAAGTATAATTAATAATCATTAGTTTTATTATTAAAGCAAAAAGAAGGAAAAGGAGTTTATTTTACAGACGGTCTCGCAAGAGACGTACTATACAAAAGGACAATACAACCGAAAATACGAAAAAGCCTTCTCACAATGATATTGCTAATGAAACAAATATTAACGAAACAAATACTGAAGAAACAATGGGTAACTCAATTTTCCAATTCAAACAAATACATAGATGAAAGTTATGTTAACATTTATTAATAATTATCTAGTTGATATACCGCGCCATGAGGTTTACGTTCTTGTCGAGGCTAGAAGATAGACTTGATATCATATTGTACATAGGATTATTGTAATAAAACAAGCGAAAATTATCTTTTTTTAAAATATAAATAAATAAATAAATTAGTTATTTACTATTATTTTATTTTTATTATAATAATCAGTAATTTTTAATATTATAAAATGTTATTCAAATTCATAAAAGTTATGAATAGATTATTATTGTTTTAAAAAAAACAAACGCTTAGCTAATACGTTATTTTTTTTAAATCGTCGGGTTTCCTATAAGGAATATTTATATAAATACCGTTATTCATTAATTATCTGATGTAAGTATCCAACAGTTAATACAAACTTACTCGAGTTAGAGTTTTACACCAAAGATCAGATTCCTATGTACTGACACGGAAAAAGATACTATGGCATACATTAGCTAGCAAGTTAGCAATTTAATATTATATAGTTTTATAATACCGGGGGAGGACAACAACCTTTGAAACTCACATCACAACTGCAATCCCCACCACAAAAATTATTGTATGGTCAAAGATTGATATGTAATGGAGATGTTTTGTTAATTTGGGTAATTACGTAAATAAAATAATTTTTGATTCATGATGTTGCAATACGTAAAATCGAATTTTAAAAACTCTAATTTTTAATTTTACGCAAGTAATATTTTCGTTAAAGGTAAATTTCAGGTGTACTATTAATATTATTATTATTAAGTCATTACCCGATTTAACCGCAAAGAAAAAAGATTACAATTTTTTTTTTCCTATTTTCATTCGATGCATTCAACCGGGTTCATAAATCCAAACAATCTCATTACGCAAAATAGTTCTGGTTTTTTTTGTTGAATGAACGAATATAAATAATTATATATATGGCAATAAATCCAATTTGAATCTATCTTTCTCTAAGCTTAATTTAGAAAATTGTGTTCAGTTTTTTCTTGATTATTATGAAAAATGCATTCATTCATTTTTCGTAAACTCCTTTTTATTCGAAAAAAAAATTTTTTAAGGGTTTTTTTTTTTATTATTAATGTTGTTACTTTGGATAAAAGTAGCTTTACTATACTTCACATATTAATTACCCGAATACAAAACTGTAAATAACTTAATTATGTTGAATTTGTATTACAATAAAAAGATAAAAAGAGCAAAAAAATAATATAAAAATGAAATTTAAAGACTTTATTAAATAATAAAAAAAAGTTTTAATATCTTTTTATTGTTATCATTTATAATCTTAACTAACATGAATGAGTTTTTTTTTTCATTATTAATAATTAATTTATTTTATACTATTTATTAATTATAAAAGACATTAAGAAATTAAATTTGTATCAAAAAAATCAAAAGAAAATATAATATATACCAAATATCTTTTTTTTATTAACATAAATTTTATTTTTTTATTTACATATATACTATATAATAAACTTCTATTTTTTTCAACCCCAACCACTCTTGACCGTTTATAACCAGACCGTTGACCGTTCGTTCGTTCGTTTATGGACGTCGAAAATTCTATTGATAAAAGCAATTTAGTACGTTTTTCAAAAATGTTTTATGCTAGTATGTAAAGGATAAAAGGTTATCAATAGCCGATAAAACAGGGATCATTTTTGCCTAGCTAGAATTCAATCTGCATGATATGATTTTTGAAAATGATTATGTAGTTTAAGAGCTTCCTCTCACTTCATATAAAAACGACTATTGACACTACTTCCATTTACAGTTCCACCTAAAATGTGAATGGACTTTTATACATACCTTAAAAGTACGCCCTTCTTGGATAGTATGAATTACTTCCTTCTTCCATCTCTTTCTTTTCGTGAGACCTCCTTTCGGACCTGCAGAATATAATGAAAAGGAAAGAAGAGGTTAGACCTCGCCTAAAAAAATCCATCGTTAAAGGAAAAAATTAAAAAAGATACCTCCCATAAATAATTGCCAAACTACAGGCATCCACAACTAAAGAGTCGATCACTATAATGGTGGTACATGTGTACCACTCATTACCAGCCCCATTTAAGCTACCCGGAATAACCAGAGTAGCTAGTGCTGTCTTTTTTATGATAGAATGACTCAGTTAGGATATACCTTATGGCTGGTCCTTTTTTATTCTGTAGTTGGTAAATTAACCACTCGTGCTATGGTTCCTCTTGGATGTGGTTTCATCTTAGGGACATTGGTCTCATCTCATAAGTCATGGTTACTTTAGACGTATTACCCACCCGTCTTGGCCGTTTTTACCCAACCGGCTTGATTTAGGGACATTGGAAACCTCATCTCATAAGTCATAGTTACTTTAGCCGTTTAACCCACCGGCTTGGTTGAATTTCTTCACTTTCAGTGTTTAGACTAACTAATACCCAGCTCAAATATGTTAGACTTTGTTATATTATAATATTGTAGAGAGAGAGAAAACTTCAAATTTTTTTTTGATTTTTTTTTCTCTCTCTCTACATTAATGGTTAATGAATAATTTACAAATTGGCTTTATTTTCACTTTAAACCTTCTTCATTTCCCATTCGAAAAATGCATGTCGGGATGATCGAACAAATCATAAATAGTTTTGATCACGTTGTCACGTCATAAATTCCAAGCTTTTTAAAGTTTTTTTGAAAAGCAATTTTGTACCAGAATTCCTCTTCTAATAAAATTCTACCAAAAAACTTAACCCTTGATATCAAATACTTTGTAATATTAAGGTTGCCTTTTCTTCTATTTTGCTGAATTTTTTAGAGAAGAATCCGCATAGTATTTTATTTTCTTTATATTGTCGATAAAATTCCAATTATTTTGCACTTTGTTACCTGTGAATTTTTCGAAACAAGCTCATATAACAGTATATATTACTTGACAATCAGTATTTTTACTAGTTTTCTTTCCTTTTTTTAGGAGTGTACTGTATTCGTGACACTTTCATCTATAAAAAATACTCTCAACAGAATTATAATAACTCATCTAACCCAACGCGTAAAAATTAATCTTCTTATATATTAAATTGTTAGTATAAATTTAAAAAATCACGCATTCCCTTCATTGAACCCTTTTGTTTTTTTGTTTTATTCAATACTTCATAGGATAACGTATTTATTTACCCAAACTGTGGACTGTTGAAGAAACTATTTGTACAGACTCTAACCCAAGCCGAAGGTGAGCATTGGATATAGAATAATGTAACAATTTCAAGTCGAAGTTATATATTTCAATTTATGTAAATTCTTCAAAGGTATACGTAGCCAAGGATCTAAAGCGAGCATAAATACAATAATATAGAATTCAAAACCAGGCTAGTCTATGTCATTACAACAATTTTGAAAATTTAGGCGAAGAATTATTCAACCATATTAACACAACTTCAAGTGAGGTGATCTCTCTGGATGGAATTTCGAGAGCTAGAAAGCTTGCAACTTCAATCCAATATACTTTTCAAGTTTTATGAAAGATTTTGTCGACTGCTCAAGTTTATTTATAGCAAATACAAAATTCCGATAAGGCAAATTTGAGACAAGAGTAATACCAGATTATTGGATATGCTGAGAAAAACCAATAAATAGCGCAAAATTTGTCATAAATTCAATCAGTCTCAAACTTTTCAAAATATATTTGAAATAATATTCAGATGCATCTTTATTTTGGAAAAATGTGACAAATTTTAATGTAGAACTTGATTTAATGGGTGTATATTAAACCCTAGAGATAATAGATTTGTACTATACAATCCCTTGATCACATTGCAAAATTTCCTCAATGGATTGAATGACTTGAACGACTAGATAAAGTTTCATATATTTTCAATATTTCAGGTGATACTGAGGATTGGTTATCGAAATTCATTCGTATTTTATAGAACGATTCCATGATGCTTGGACAAAATAAATAATCATCTTTATAGTCTCTATATTGATCAAGGAGGAGGACACGACTTCTTCGCTTATTCATGTTAAGCAATTTTTATTTCCAACAATGGATAAGAACAATGGATAAGAATATAATGGGAACTGTTGCTGATATTTTTAATGAGTTATTGTTAATTATTAAGAAAATATTCCACTTTAGGAGAGAAGTTTATTTTATGTAAAAATAGCAATATGACTTTACAAATCATGTATAATAACATTCAACCCGTGTCAAAATTACCAAGGATTTTGTAACTAATGAATTTATACCTTTAAACGTGATGGAAAGGAAGAAAAAGTTACCGTAACATTAGTATTTACTTTAAGACCGAGATTATTTATAACATGAATTAAATTTTGGAATTAGTGAACGAGCTCTTTTAATTACAAAAATATCATAGATGATAAAGATATGGAAATGCTAAAACATTTTGCGAATGATTTTATCACTGCATAAGAAATAATTGGTGTGATTAGTGTGGTATCCACATTAATCCAAACGGGACATTTTGATTATCAAAATTTTGAAAAGAAATTACGTGGAATAATATTTATGAAAAGAGCTTAAAAAATGGTGAATACATTTCTTATTTTTGTTTCTTTATTTTCATTTCTTAACTCGGTGGTGGGTCAATAGAATATTTATTAACAAGTTGATGTTTTAAATTTTATATTAAGATATAGTGAATCACGCATAAGAAGAGTGTTATTATTTAATATTCTTCCCTGCTCGTCACATCATACGCTTATTTTATATCAGCAAATCAATAGATAAAATAACAAAAAAATGCAGAAAGGATTAGATCTATAAACAGCAAAATTCGATTACCATCTTGCAAATGTTATCTTGAAATTCTTTGTGGAATTGGTGATGGATTAAAAAGAATTTTTAGAAATGTTCTAAAAACAAACGCGTGAATTTACATTTACTTAACAACTCATAATGTCAGATATCATTGCAAAGTGTAAATTGTTTGTTACGGCTTTTTTACTGACAAGTCTTGAGTTCCAAACCTTATCATGTCATAATGGAATTTTATCCCGAATCATGGCAAATCTTGATATGTACTTCAACTACTATACTGGAAGTGATCTCGATCTTTATCAAAAAAAGCTTTTTTGCTTTAAATAATGGGCATGAGGATCATTTATTCAATATCACAAATTTAGAAGAAATTAGAGATTGAACTACAATTTATTTTAATTGATCAAATTTGAAGATTGCAAGTTACAAACAATTTCTTTTGACACTTATCTGTTGCAAAGTAACTGGGATGTATCACTATATTTTATATCAATCTTTCTTAGATGTTGATTCAACGAATGGGTTAGAACACTGAAGAATCTATCAAGAAATATGTATGTCTTACATGGGCAAGGTAAAACTGAGTGGATCAAAGAAACTAGTTTGATTAAAACCAAGTACTGCGTGGCTTTTTGAGAAGAGATGGTATAGATTTTGGCACACGTACCAATTCAAAGCATGCATATTAATGAATCTTCAGACCATCCTGAAGTTAAAGATGAAGAAATTTTAGAACGTTATAAAGAATGTTTAATAGCAATAACAGCTCTGATAGAATTGTAAAAGCCAAACAACTAGCTTTAGAACGATTGATTGAACGAGGTTTATTTCTAACAACAACATTATGATAGCCTTTATAATTAATTGATGATCTATTTAATCATGAAAACATCAGTGGATCCTAAAGAACACTTGGTAAATGTCAACACACTCTCCAAAATTAACTCAGACGTTTACAAGAATCGTTAAGATGTCAAGTGGATAAATTGTCTTAACTTTTAAGACTAAAACGCAAATTTCGCATAAGGTACATGTAATTAAACATTTAATTTGTAACCTTTTTTTTGGATAAACTAATATATGACAAATTCGATTCTCTAGATAAAACATTTCTACTGATAATGTTCTAATTCTCCAATGCGGTTGACCGTACATTTTCTCTACATCGAGATTGCAAATAAATACTCGGCCTTGAATATTCATGTCTTTGTAAGCTATAGAAGAAAGAAATTAATAATGCTTGTAACAAATGGAATTTATACTTTATACATGATGGAAAAAAGGGAATCAGATTCAAAAAGTGACTTTCTCGTTTTTATTTCTTGGAATATTAATTTTTAAAAAACGAAAACCTGACTTTGATAGTATTATATAAGTTTATCTGCTGCACAGAGACGAAAACTTATCAACATTAGCCATATTCTAACTGGGCCTGATATTAATAAAGATGATATATACTCAATGTAAAGTTATTGATGATGATATAATCGAGCGTGGAATAATAGTTCTTCAATTTTAAAGTTAATTAAACAAACATTTTTCAACCTACTTACCCAATCGAAAAGGATGTCTTTTGATAATTTTTTTATAGTAATTATATTAATAAATTGAAAAGTAAACCAGATATTACTTGGGTAAAATTCTAACGGGCATAAAAGGAAATACTCGTTAAGGAATCAGGAACACTTTTTTTTTTATCTGTGTCTTTAAATTCTGATGGGTCATAATCAAATTTTCGAAATATTATTTATTATAATGTTAAATTTAAATTTATACACACTTATTAACCCATTAAATTTTTTACACACAATAAAAAACTTAGGTAATATATATTATCTCTTTTTTTCAGAATCATAATTGTCAGTTTAAATGGCAGAACAGTTCATAATTATTACATAATGTATAGCATATGAGCTCGTAAGTCACATTTTCTTTGGGAAAACAAAATCAAATTCTTTTTAATATTAGGTGCACTGATTCGAATTATCAGCAGTTGACGTAATTCTGTTACTTTTATTTTATTGAAGTTCAGACATGTATTTTTTGATTTATAAATAAACAACTTAGTTACGGTTGATCAACGGTACTTTGACCGAAAAACACCGTTTACTGTAACTGTAATATTATAATTTAACAATTTTGTGACACAACTCGATAATTGATATCGATGTTATAGTAACTTACACCACTAAAGTTAGTTATAAAGTATTTTAAATTCTTATTTTGACGTTATATAAAAAAATATTAGATATATTTGCGGTGAAATATTAAATAAAGCAAATTTCTCAACAAAATCTTCTCCATCTTCTGATATATCATCCTCAGAAAATAATTAATTTTTAACTTCTGGAAGTCTAAATATAATTATTCGGTTTTTTTTTTAAAGTTCTATTGATGCTTTTTTTACTTTTTTTTTTTTTTTTACTAAATGAATGATTCTCCCTTGTAAATCTTTATGTAGAGCGAAAATCGAAATTTTTTAATTTAGGATCTACTAATTTTCTTTTAACATGTAAAACAGTAGCATCGCTCAGATTTTCAGGACGAATATAAGGAGTTTTCTGAACATTTCGAGTTTATCATAGGGAATCTTGAATTTTTTTTTAATGAAGAATGTTTAAGATATTTTATTTTTTATTTTAACAACTTGATTAAATATTTATTGTGTTTATTGATGATATATAATCATTATTTAACTATTTAGTTTATTTTTTTATTATTATTGTAGTTTATTGTATTTTATTTTATTAATTATAATTAATTAAAGTTAGTTCGAAAGTTTATTTTACTTAGGATTCAAATTTTTAGATTAAAAATAAATGTATTTTATCAACTGATGATATGATGTTATTACAAAACACGGTCTCAATTAATAATCAATGAAGTTTAATCAGATTTAAAACGCGTTCACATTATTGATGAAGTCTATAAAAGTTTATTCCGAATAATATATATAGTCAATAAGTCTAATATAAAGCTCTCTCCAGAAAATCTGCTTTCGTTACATTTACTTCTTGAAACTATCTATCTAGAAACAAATTTTTTTACTTTTAATAATAACAGATAATGGATAACGAGTGGAAGAGCGCAAAGTCGAAATTAGAAAATCTTTTCCCTGACAGCAAGATGCGTGGTGAAATCAAAGGTCAACTTCTAGGGATGGATATGAAGAACCGACTTGAATATTTCGAAGGAGATGACGAAGAAATTAAGGCTTCCCTTAATACACTCCTATTTGGTAAAGTTAAAACTTTTTTTGATCTTTATTACGTGATTGTGACACTTGCGACTAAATTTTTTTTCGATAATCTAACCCAATTTAGATGAACATCAAGGTAAGCCTTTGCGTCGTAATGATTGGTCAACTCGAACGTGACGCGCTAATCTTTATTGTCCATTTCGTGTGCCTAGGCAAATCTGCAAAAAAAGAGGCCAATGAATTCTGGAAAAATCTTAATAGAGCGGAAATCATTTTCCAACTGAACGAACCATTTAACTCTGAATATCTCGAATACTTTGAAATCAAAGGAGAACAGGATTTAGAATTCAACCTGCGACCTGGAATATCTCCTAAAGATAATACATACGCTTGTAAGAAAAAAGATATTAATCTCGAATGGTCAGATATATCCAAAGACCTTATAGGAGTTTTGTGCCTACCAGATAACGTTTTTTTTCTGGGTGACGAAGGATTAGGATCATTCCTCATAATTCGAGACTGCTACAAAGAACTCATTATTGAGATGTTTAAACGGGATATATCCAAATTTGGATGTATTATCACAGGTACACCCGGCATAGGTAAAACATATTTTGGGCTGTACCTTCTATATTACATTCATTTACATCATCCAAATGCCACGATTGTCTGGCAATTAGCTGATTCAGATACTCACCAATGCTATCAATTTATGCCAGACGGTAACATTCTAGTTGGAAGCATAGAACAATTTTATGATTCAATTTCGAACAAGAACAACTATTACATTGTAGATGCTCAGAAACCTGAGAAAAGTAGCGCATATGTTATTCTGTTGACGCCTCCGAAAGCAGAGTTATACAACTCTCTATGGAAGTCAGAAGGTATTACTAAGTACTACATGCCGATCTGGAACGATGAAGAAATAATTACACTATGGAACGTCCGTTATAAGGAAATGAAGGGCGAAAATGGAGATACATTTACATATGAAAAATTTGAGGTGTTGATGGGAAGATGGGGTTTAATACCTCGAATCCTTAGGAAGTGGAAAGATGAACTATATAGCGAAACAGAGTTCGATAAACTGATCAATGAAGTTGAACTTATGAAGTGTTTAAAGTCTGTCAATGAGGAAGGAATGTCAAAGGACTCTGCAAGTGGCAGACTTATTCATATTATTGTAGAACCAAACTTTAGAAAATATAAATTTTGTTTTGCTTCATCATTTGTTTCGGATAGTTTGATAAATGCCTATGAGCGTTACCATCATTCTAGCGTTCGTGATTTTCTCCAAAGCAGTTACAGTGAGCCGAAAGCTTCTGGACTTCGAGGTAACCTTTTTGAGGATTATGCCCATAGGCAATTGCAAAAGGGCGGTACATTTAGAATTCGCGAACTTATTAGAGGAGAGATCTCAACAGAGATAGTGGATAAAGAAATGGACAATCTATGTTACAATTGGTTTGATACGCTGAAGGATGTAGATGCATGTTCTTATAATAGACCTCGATCGAGAATATTTGAAACGACAGATTCTTTTGTTTTTAATAGCCAAGAGAGCACTTTAGACTTATTTCAAGTTACTGTATCAAAAGTTCATGGTGCAAAGGTAAAAATAAGCATAAATAATATATTATTTACTAGTTATTTTCTACTGTGGTCTAACCTGTGGTTTTGTAGGTGAAAGGGTTAGAGAAAATCAAAACCCATGTGTGGAATGGTAATATAAAATTATATTTTGTGGTTCCATCTGACAAATTCGACGATTATCCTTGGCAAAGCTATAGGGGTTCCAATAACCTTGTCAGTTATAGTCATTCATCATGGATCAATGATCTAAAACAATACGTACTAGATATAAATGTACATGAATTCTACAGCAATAATGAGTAATGTGAAGTAGTCCGGGAGAAATGATTTATGTCAAATTTGCTTTTGCGTGACTTGGACGGATATTACCAATCAAATTTTTATAGTTGTAAAAAAAATATGTAATATAGCTTATTTCTTATAATAATTCAATAATCTCGATCTGTATTTTATGCTTTGCTGAAATGTAGATGTTGCGATGTAAAAATAAAATATTTTTAATGTAGTTAATCACTGATGTAATAATACTTTGTTCACTATAACGTTAGGAGGTTATTAAATCTGAACGAATAAATACCAAAGGAAGATACATTTAGAGATAATTAAAACAGATATAAAATCAATAAATAAGTTGATAGTTATTTACAAAAAAGAAAAGTACCTGAAAGAATAGATGAAAGCACCCATTCAACACAATTAATGCTTCTAAATGTGAAAAAATAATTACAACAAAGGAAGAAAAAGAGATATGAAAATCCTTATTGCTTTACCAACTGAAGAAGAAATTAACAATATTTTAAACTAACTTACCTTCTACATATCTAATAATGTAAAGAGTAGGCTTGTAAAAATTTCACAACATATTACTTTATTTTAAATATTAAAAAAACTATCACATGAGATATCGCATAATCTAGAAAATCAATATTATTCGTTAAATTGTTGTATTAACGTATATTGTTATCAACTTGTAATAAGATTGAAGTTTTCCCTTTGATGTTATACAAATATTTTTTTAATAATAAATTTGTATAACGTGGATTTGTCCGGTGATTGGTGAATCTATTTTTTGAATATAGGAATAGCTTTCATGTAATCTATTCATTGAATCCACCAATCACTTTCGCCTAGAAAAAATTTTGCTGAATGGTATAAATTTGGCAAAATAAGAAATAATCAGCATTATTGTTCTTTCATATGTTTTTTAAAATTTTATAATTATTTTTTTTCTTTGAAATTGATCATGTCGAAATTTATCTATGGAGTTCTTCTATTGCAAAACTCACTCACGTACAAAAGGCTAAATCAATAAAAATGAAAAAATGTAATAGCAATAATACTTGTGCTGTTGTTTTGACCATCTAACGACCCTGTATTCCAAATTACTGCTCTCACATCATCATTTCCATCTTCATCTGCTTATATTAACTATTAATTTGTTTACAAAAAATCTTAATTTATAATGACCCGAATTGTAAAATTAGTAACTTATATATTATTTTCATAAAACTAATTGAACATACCATTCATTTATAACAGACAAAAAAAAAAAGGTCAAAATCAATATTTTACAAAAAAAATAAACAAATCAATCTTTATTATATATATTAAAAACATAAAAAAAGAAAGAAATTGGATCTCACAAAAAGTTAACAATAAAAAAAATTTTTTTCTAATTTCTAAAATCAATACAAGTTCAGATATCACAAAATCATTCATTTTTTCTAGCTTGTTCAAGTCTAGCAATACAATCTACTTCAATGGTACAGGTGATAGAAATGTCTTCTTTCAAAACTAAAAATAAAACAGCACATTTTGCAAATTTGTCACCAATACAGGCCTCTTCATTTTCTGCATATTTTTGATCTGCTTTAAATGATTTGAATTACTTTGTAAAGCTTTTGCTTGGTCAGCATTCTTTTTTCGAATTTTTGTTACATCACCTTTTACTTGCCTCTTTTGATTTTTACCGTTGGATTTAGATTTTTGACCTTTACTATCTTTACAGGTATCGGCAAGACGAGCTTTTTAATCAGCTTCTGTGAAATAGGTAATAGAAGTCCTGGGTTTATTAACTAAAGGTAAAACAACCCATTTTAATTCACCGTTACCACAAGAATTTAAAACAAACTTTCCATTAACGCATTGAGCGAATTGACCTTTAACACAAGCATCTCTTTCTTTACATGATAAGTTTGGTTTCAATTTATCGAAATTTTTTTGTAATTTTTCTGCATTATTAACGTTCTTTTCACAAAAATTTTGAGCTGATGCTAAAGTAGCACAGGTGATGAAAAAGAAGATGATGATTGTTGAAAATTTCATGATTAAAAAAATTTTTTTTTTAATTTATTTGAGAAAAGATTTTTTTTAATGCTACCTAAGTAAAAATTATGAAATTAGATTTTTTTTTATTTGGGAAATAATTCAATATCAAGTTGATATTATTTGATTTTTTTGTGGAATTTTTTTAATTAAATAAAAAATTTTTTTTATTTTTGTTTTTTTGATTTTTGATTTCATTTTTTCTTGAGCTTTCTCAGGTCATATTTATATAAGATTGAATTTGAGAAAATCCATATTGTACTTCAAAATATTAAATTAAAGATAACAAGACGGTTTATACATTGTGATTGGCGAAAGTAATAATTTAATAATTTTGGAATAAAGTTGTATACGCGTTCTTTTTTTAAAAAATTGACGCTTATGCAAAATGGCTGATCGTCATATTTGTAAACTATAAAGTAGGCTCAGTCTAATTTCAATTGGCTAAGCGCATAACAAACGAGATTCAGGGTATACCAAAATACTTTATTTGATAAATTCAGTAAAATTCATATTTCTTTTAAAACAAGATTAGGATAATAAAGGATATTCACTTTTTTAGGTTATTATTTCCTAATAATTATCATATTTTGAATAATAATTATTTGTTCTCGCTATATGTCATAATTTTGTATAATAATAATAAATTATTATTATTTTTTTTTATTAATCAAAGAAACCTTAAGGTTTCATTATATAACCAAGAAATTAATAAAAAAAGATTCAAACGCAATTTTTTTTATTGAACAATTCATAAATATTATGTTTATATTGAAAATTAAAATCTTAAGTGATAAGTATTTATCAACGAATTAAAAATCTACAAAGATTTTTTCAATTACCAAAACAAATACAAAGATTACGAAAAGCATAACTTGAAATTAATGGACAAAATCAATCTGAAGATTCTGAAATACCAATTAGTCTTTTAGATGTTTTAACTGATACTAAAACTCAATAGAATTCAACATTCTTAGCATGGAAACGAATTCTTAAATTACATAACACTATGCGTTATATTTTAACTACATTATTATCAAAAAATGATTGTGAATTAAATAAGGAGAAAAATTAGAAACATTATGTTTAACACATGAAGAAAAAATGTAAGTTTATTAATTATATTTTAAAAATAATTTCATTTGATTAAAAATGTCTTTAATAATTATATATATATTTTTTTTTTTTTAAAAAAAAGTTTTATCTAAGAAATGGTTAAGTTATTAAAACCATTTGAAACTATTACGCAATTCATATCAGATGCTAAATATCCTACTCTTAACATGATATATCCGTATATGTATATGCTTAAACAAATGTTTACTTCAAATCCTCAAGAAAATGAAACTATAGATAGTTTTTTAAATCTTCTTTATGGATCTTTATTATCTGAAAATATTTAAAAAGAAGAAGCAGAAGAAGAAAATTTAAGTTCTATTAGTGATGATGATAATGGCATTCCAACTGCTAAAAATCGACAACATTGGCAATATGCCTAACAACAATTTAGAGAACAAATGAGATATCAGGGATGAATACGAGGTCATGATCATAGAAATACTTATAGATCTAGATATAATCATAGTTGTAGTTGTGATCGTAATTGTAGTAGTAGTAGTAATCGTATTTTACGAAGCTCAAATATATCTATTAATAAAATTGAAAATCCCTATCAAATTGAATATTTTCCTCCAATAGATACTAAAGATCTTCTTAAAGTAGTTCATGCTGCTATCTATCTTTCTTTAGATAAATTATGGGATATGCTAAATGAATTATTCTTAGTTGCAATAATATTGGATCCTAGGATGAAAATTTTCGATTTATAAATAATTCAGATCGTAAAGAATAAATATTACAAGCTGAAGCTTGTTTAAAAGGATTATATATTGAATTAAAACAAAAATCAACAAATTTAGAAGATATTAGAGAAGAATCACCAACACTAATCATAGTTGAAAATGATGATATATTTACAAATATGTGATGAGATTTTACTTTACTTACAATGTCCTAGTAAACCAAAAATTACAAATCCTTTAGTATGGTAGAAGGATTATAAAGTAAGTTATCCTATTTTATCGCAATTAGCTCACAAGTATCTTTCAATTCCTGCTACATCTGTACCTAGTGAATATCTATTTTCTGATGCAGAAAATCATATCTCTTTGAAAAGAACATGATTATCTCCTGATTTAGTTAATTGTATGTTATTTTTAAAATGAAATAGTAATCATTTTCCTATATTTTCTCCTTTAGAAACAAATAATTTAGTTTACTTTACTTTAATATAAATAATATGTATGTTTAAAGTAATACAAATATAATAAAAGAATTTATCAATATGAATAATATACGTCATTTGCCATTGTTACATAATTTTAGAAATTCTTTTATAGATCCTTAAAATTACATAATTTGCAACTTAAAATAAAGGATTTAGTTAATAACTTGATATATAATTTAACTATAGTTTAAGTATAGTTGATTAAAAAATTGATTTTATTATATTTTTTGTTAATTTTACCAGAAAAAATGTAAAATTATTTAGATCATAGATGAAGTATAGTTGATTTAAATATTGATCTTTCAATTTTTAAACCGAGTTTATAGTAATTTAATTAATATGATTTTTAAATCTGATTTTAAACTGAATATTAATATATAATATTAATAATGTTAATTTAGCATTTACATTATAGTATGTATTATTTTTAATAATTACTAAATATTATTATTGACGTATTAAATTTTAATAATTACAAATATTATTATACTAATGTGTTCAAATTTTAATAATTACTAATATCATTATCTAACGTGTTCAACTTTTATAAATTTTATAATTACTAATATTATTATCTGACGTATTCAATTTTTATAATTACTAATATAATATACTGACATATTCAATTTTTATAATTACTAATATATTATATTGACATGTTCAATATTAATAATAATGACAAATTCTAATTTATTGAGTAATTATAAAATTTTTTTAAAAAATTTAAATATATAAGAAAACAATCTCTTTTTTTTCATGTTAATTCATAACTTCAATATTTCTTCTACCTTTATTTTTTTTTAATTTTCACAATATTTTATTTTTCTTCTAATTTTTACAATGAGCATTGAATGGAGTAATACTCAAACTCAACTTTTAATTATAAAACGAAAAAATAGTAATATGATTTATCATTACAATACTAGTAGAAATAAAGATGAGTTCTGGGATAAATTAGCAAATGAAATTAATGGAGAATTAAATACAAATTTTACGAGAAATTAATGTTGATATAAGTTTGATAATTTAATTAAAGATTATAATGTGAGTAATAATTATAAATAAAGTAATTATGATTTAATAGTATACAAAAAAATATTAATTTGTTTAATATATTATTAGAATATGGATCTTTATATAAAAGGACATTTAAAAGGAATCATGACTAAAAATGAAGAATTATATTTCCATGAATTTAAAACGAAATTTTGGAAAAGACCAGGTAATTATCCCCTTAATGGTTTTGCAGGAAAATTTGCCTGCAATTTTGAAAATTAATAATTGATCGCTATTAATAATATTTGAATATTTAATCATAAATATTTTTTTATTTTGATAGTGACTCAGGCTCAAATTAATATCTAA